TTGTGTTTTGGTCTGTTTTTCTAATACTGTATGCAATAGGTCAACTATATTTGTTGTATGAAAATATTTTACCATGTAGATGTCAGTCTGGCATGTTTTATTTGACCATGACCTCATTTTAATGGTTTATTGCTTAATGTTAAGTTTTTGTTTTTTGGTCTGTTTTTCTAATACTATAAGCAATAGGTCAACTATATTTGGTGTATGTGGAATGATTATAAGGTGTATATGTCTGTCTGGCAATTATCATCTGACCATGACCTCATTTTCATGGTTCATTGATCAATCTTAAGTTTTCCTGTTTAAGTTTGTTTCTTAGATACTATATGCAATAGGTCAACTATATTTAAAGCATGTAATGATTGTAAGGTGTACATGTCTGTCTGGCAGGATTTATCTGACCTTGGCCTCATTTTCATGGTTTATTGATCAATGTTAAGTTTTCCTGGTTAAGTTTGTTTCTTAGATGTGCAATAGGTCAACTATATTTAAAGCATATTTGATATATGGAATGATTGTAAGGTGTACATGTATTTCCAGTTTGGTTTATCTGACCTTGACCTCATTTTCTTGGATCATGTTAAGTTTATGTGATAGTTGTAGTAAAGCTTTATATTTAGGACTATCAACATAATATACTAGTTTTCTACTAGTGAATTTGAATGTCACTTTGGTATCTTTCTCCTCTCTTTTAACTGACGTCAGTTGGAAACCAACAGAAAAATAATATACCCAGATTTGTAACATTTAATACTACATTGTAATTACCTTGTTATTTACCAAGTCTGTTCATATTTTAGTATTCACCTCGTTAACAACAGGGAATTTACCAGATTGAAATAAAAAAAAGCTAGTTAAGTTTTTACAACAGGGAATTTACCAGATTGAAATAAAAAAAAGCTAGTTAAGTTTTTACAACAGGGAATTTACCAGATTGAAATAAAAAAAAGCTAGTTAAGTTTTTACAACAGGGAATTTACCATAGTGTAATAAAGAACTGGTTAACTTATTAAGTGAATGACAAGGTAAGGTGACTTTAGAGACACCTCAGAGAGAAATCATGACATGGTAAGGAGACTTCAGGGACACCTCAGGGAGAAATCATGACACAGTAAGGAGACTTCAGGGACACCTTAGGGAGAAATCATGACACAGAAATGAGACTTCAGGGACACCTCAGAGAGAAATCATGACATGGTAAGGGACACCCCAGGGAGAAGTGAATGGCATGGTAAGGTGACTTTAGAAACACCTCAGGGAGAGGTCATGAAATGGTAGGGTGACTTCAGGGACACCTCAGGGAGAGGTCATGACATGGTAGGGAGACTTCAGGGACACCTCAGGAAGAAGTGAATGACATGGTAAGGAGACTTCAGGGACACCTCAGAGAGAAATCATGACACAGTAAGGAGACTTCAGTGACACCTCAGAGAGAAATCATGACATGGTAAGGGACACCTCAGGGAGAAGTGAATGACATGGTAAGGTGACTTTAGGGACACCTCAGGGAGAAGTGAAAGACATGGTAAGGTGACTTAAGAGACACCTCAGAGAGAAATCATGACATGGTAAGGAGACTTCATGGACACCTCAGGGAGAGGTCATGAAGTGGTAGGATGACTTCAGGGACACCTCAGGGAGAAGTGAATGACATAGTAAGGAGACTTCAGGGACACCTCAGAGAGAAATCATGACATGGTAAGGAGACTTCAGGGACACCTCAGGGAGAAGTGAATGACATGGTGAGAGACTTCAGGGACACCTCAGGGAGAGGTCATGAAATGGTAGAATGACTTCAAGGACACCTCAGGGAGAGGTCATGAAATGGTAGGGTGACTTCAGAGACACCCCAGGGAGAGGTCATGAAATGGTAGGATGACTTCAGGGAGAGGTCATGAAATGGTAAAGTGACTTCAGGGACACCTCAGGGAGAAATGAATGACATGGTAAAGAGACTTCAGGGACACCTCAGGGAGAAGTCATGACATGGTAAGGAGACTTCAGGGACACCTCATAGAGAAATCATGACAAGGTAAGGAGACTTAAGGGACACCTCAGGGAGAGGTCATGACGTGGTAAGGAGACTTCAGGGACACGACAGGGAGAAGTGAATGACATGGTAAGGAGACTTCAGGGACACCTCAGAGAGAAATCATGACATGGTAAGGAGACTTCAGGGACACCTCATGGAGAAGTCATGACGTGGTAAGGAGACTTCAGGGACACCTCAGAGAGAAATCATGACACAGAAAGGAGACTTCAGGGACACCTCAGGGAGAAATCATGACATGGTAAGGGACACCCAGGGAGAAGTGAATGACATGGTAAGGAGACTTCAGGGACACCTCAGGGAGAAGTCATGACGTGGTAAGGAGACTTCAGAGACACCTCAGAGAGAAATCATGTCATGGTAAGGAGACTTCAGGGACACCTCAGGGACAGGTCATGACGTGGTAAGGAAACTTCAGGGACATGACAGGGAGAAGTGAATGACATGGTATGGAGACTTCAGGGACACCTTAGAGAGATATCATGACATGGTAAGGAGATTTCAGGGACACCTCAGAGAGAAATCATGACATGGTAAGGAGACTTCAGGGAGAAGTGATTGACATGGTAAGGAAAATTCAGGAACACCTCATGGAGAAGTCATGACATGGTAAGGAGACTTCAGGGAGACTTCACAGAGAAGTGTATTTCATGGGATAGGAGAATTAGGGACTTCAGGGAGAAGTTATGACATGGAAGGGAGACTTCAGGGACACCTCAGAGAGAAGTGTATGACATGGTAAGGAGACTTCAGAGAGAAGTGTATGACATGGGTGAGGAGACTCAGAGACTTCAGGGAGAAGTCATGACATGGTAAGGAGACTTCAGAGACACCCCAGGAAGAAGTTAATGAAACAAAAGGCATGCAATCTAGCATTGATGTGTTATATATTCTTAAACAGACATGAATTTGAAATCTATGATGTCTTAGATACTAAAGATTCATGAAGCAGGCTGATATGTTTGCTTCATAAAAATCAGAATGAACAGACAATACTAGACATATTTTCCATCTTATTTTGTAGAATTCTTGTCCGTAGGTTGCATGGTTTACATACTTACTACTTACTTGATTATTGAGTCCTCTTCCTCATGCTATCACATGACACCTTTACTATTATTTTACCTTTAGACATTTATCTTTAATACCAATAGTATACTTGATTCATTTTCTATATGGGATTGTAGTTCAGTAATATTTTCACATGAACATCTACCCCATATGTTCTCTGTATGAAAGTATAAGATAACACTAATATTTTTTTAGAATCAATGACAAACAAAGGTATTAATGATTGAACAAGTATATTTCAGAATAGTATCAACTATTATCTATAAATCTTCATAAATGAAAAAAGAAAGAAATAGATTTATAGATTATCTGTTGTTTTGAAAACAAGAGGGAGTTTCTTGGCTACAATCTCATCAAAGGATAATAGTCCTGTTATAAGATTTGGATGAGAGATTTCCCTGAGGTTGAGAGACCATATCTAACCTGTTAATAGCTTTTTGCAAGGGACTAGTCTATGTATCATATCAGAGAATTTACCTAGATTCAGATTGTAATAAGGGACTAGCCTATGTATCATATCATAGAATTTACCTAGATTCAGATTGTAATAAGGGACTAGCCTATGTATCATATCAGAGAATTTACCTAGATTCAGATTGTAATAAGGGACTAGCCTATGTATCATATCAGAGAATTTACCTAGATTCAGATTGTAATAAGGGACTAGTCTACATATCATATCAGAGAATTTACCTAGATTCAGATTGTAATAAGGGACTAGTAGACGTATCATATCAGATATATATTTAGATTCAGATTGTAATAAGGGACTTGTCTACATATCACAATGTTGTAGATTTCTGATAGTTGTCTCATTTGCAATCATACCACATCTCCTTATTTTAATGATAATTAATCTCTGGCTTACTGAAATTGTAACAATATACTAAACCATTAAGAATTTGCAAAATTGAAAGAAAAAACTATTTTATTTTAAGGTTACTGAGCAATTTCAAAGACTAGAAATTACTCAAAGTGTGACAACAGAGAAGTATCAAGGATTCTAACTAAGTACTTTTTCACAATAAAGAATTTACTCAGATTGTAATTAAGTATTTAACAGAAGTAATTACATTTCATTGAAAACTGAAGAATTTCCTCTCATTGATCCTTTCTTTTAATTATTTAATTTTTTTTTTACTTTATATTTTCATGATAAATAAAGACTTCATATGTTTCTATGGAGTAGAAAGTAAAAAAAAACCTTTTGTGGATAATGAATATATAAACAATGTAGATACTTTTTCTTTAAATTAAACAATAGTGTCTGTTTCATGGTATTAAATTGGATGCATATATCTGTATGTCCAATATTGATAATGCTTAGAGAAAATGTGACTGGCATCTATTGTAAAACTTGACGTTAGTTAGCTCTCTTTCAAGCATTATTGTGATTGGAACTACCGAAGCATCAATAACGAAAACCTATTGAATCATTCTCAATTAAATCAACGTTGGTCCGGTGCAAACAATATTGTTATTGAACCCAATCACCAGAATTAAATCTACTCCGTAGAGTTATGTTTTCTTACAGTGAAACAATGCTGTTGTAATACTTTTAGGAGAATATGATTATGAAAGAAACCTTTGGGAATTATATTGTCTGATAAAAATAATCTTATTGTAGAGAAATATCTTGAGTAGTGTGTCATTTGAGATGATAATTGGTTTTGGTAACCAATGATCAATCTTAATACATGCATAAAGAAAATGTTGGAAAGTATACTCAATCTATTGTATTTCATAAGTATTCAAATGGCTTTTTTATCTAACAAAATATGTCAAAAAATTGAAGTTGTTTTAGTTTCTTAAGAAGTAGGAGAAAAATCAGATTATATTGATGTATTGAATATTATTTTATATTTATTTCTAGATTATAATGTTAGAGTTGGTAAACTTAGGACATATAAAATCACAAGTAAGTAAGTTAGTTAGTTATATCACAACTTTAATTACATAAATCAAAACTTGAAAAAAAGTCAAGACTTGAAAAAAGTGAAAAGCAGTGATTATTGAATTGACTATATTTATTATTTAATTATCTCATTAGGAGGAAATATCTTAAACCTTTGACTAACATGTGTGGAGAAAATTATTGCTTAGTCAATCTTTATTTAAACTTTTAAGATTAAAGATGCTTACATATAATTCAGTTGTCGATTAACATAGAAAAGATCCTTAAAACTGAATCTTTCACGTTAGAAATTTTCTTGTTTTATCAAGGCATCAATTATTTTTTCTACTTTAGAAATTCTCTTGTGTTTTAATGCTTGCTTAATTAGTTTGGGATAAATATTTGAATTTGATTTAAAACCTGGGTTTAATTTTAATTTAAGATACTAATAAGCCAATTTTGACTATGATAACTTTTTGCCAGTTTTCCTCATCATTGAATGTGTCAACAGTTTGTTAAAGTTTGTGATTAGGTCAGTTTTAGGGGAACCACTGAAGATAAGTCAATAATATTTGGTAGGCAGTTTCATTAAAATTCACATTTTATTTGGTCTTGCTCCCTCAGTCATACAGATGGTATACAGATGCCTTATGTTATGAAGTTTCTGTTTGTTATATGTCCAGTGTCCTTGACCTCATTTTCTTGGTTATGTGATTGCTTGAAAAAAGGTTTAGTTTTTTGTCATGTGAGTTTCTCACTTATTATGAGTGATAAGATAACTATATTTAGTATATGGGTTCCTTGCAAGGTCTACATGTATGTCAGACTGGGTTAAACTGACCTTGATCTCTTTCATGGATCAGTGATCAAGGTTAAAGTTACGATTAGGTCAGTTTTCAGATAATATAAGCAGTAGATCAACTATATCTTGGTGTATGGAATGATTGTTAGGTGTATATGTCAGTCTTGCAGGTTTCATCTGACCTTTACCTCATTTGCATGGTTCATTCAAGTTCATTGGTCAATGTTAAGTTTATGTGTTTTGCCTTTTGGTCTGTTTTTCAAATGCAATAAGAAATAAGTCAACTACATGTATATTTAGTGTATGAAATAATTGTAAAGTGGGAATGTTTGTCTGACAGGATTTATCTGACCTTGACCTCATTATCATGGATCTTTGAAAATGTTTAGTTCATGTCATACTTGTAGTAAAACCATAAATTATCTTTAAGACTTTGCAAAATTTTTATTTTCTTCTACATAAGTAATTTTTAAAATTGGAGTTATCTTCCTTTGTCCATGATTATAGTTGAATCAACTACAATCAATGCTTTATACAATGCAATGTTTAATTTTGACTTCCACTGATAAAACACAGATCAAGTTGAATTAGGGTAGTGTCACTTTAACCATTATTGAGTTATGCCCCTTTATAAATCAAAAGATTGCAAAATTTTTAGTTTCCATTCTGTAACTTAAGTTTGCCCCAACCAAACATTATGAAACCTATACACAATATTCATTACCACAAAACTAAGATCAAGTACAAATTTTTTGTTTCCGTTTTCTAACTTTAGTTTGCCTCAACCAAATGTTATGAAACTTATACACAATACTTATTACTACATAATACAGAGTAAGAACCAAATTTGGTGACGACACTTTTACCATTCTTGAGTTATGTCCCTTTATAAACATAAAAAGTGCTGAATTTTTCGTTTCCGTTCTCTAACTGTAGTTTGTCTCAACCAAATGTTATAAAACTTATACACAACCGTTCTAGAGTTATGCGTGTTTACAAATAGAAAAATTGCTGAATTTTTAGTTTCTGTTCTCTACTTAAGTTAGCCTCAACCAAATGTTATGAGACTTACACACAATGCTTATTACCACAAAACTCAAATCAAGTTCAAATTTGGGTAGCGTCACTTTTACCGTTCTTCAGTTATGTCCCTTTATAACTATATGATATGCAAGCGGGGGCATCATCTGTGTCCACATGTGAACACTATCCACATTTATTTTGTCATTTTGTTCAGTACTAAACAGGTTTTTAACATTTTGTATCATTGAAATGTTGTAGCACGTTGTGTAGTGAAACATTCCATAAATTTCTTTATGATGAGAAATAACCTCAACATTAAAATATTTATAGCTTTGTTAAAATTGATTTTCCTCAAAAGTGCATATTAGCCTTGTATTTTATGTCTTTTTGCTTTTATGTTGTTGCTACGTTAGGATGTTTAACATTTAATGTTCATTGAAAATAAGCATAAAAATAACATTTGCACTGTAAACCATTGTAATATGTTTCTAATTCATATTTCAGTAATTATTACATAGAGCACCTGATATTTGTTTGAAAGATGCAAAAGCAAAATGTAGAAGTGATTATCTGTTTTGACCTCTAGACCCTGTATGGCAGGAGGCAGACATAGGCGTTACTTTTCTCAACATTCAATGTTAAATTTCTGATTAGATCTATCTCTTTACAAGTATTTATGATATACTCTTGTTACTGGTGACTACTGAGAAAGAGGTAAAACGTCTCATTTACCAATACTCCCAGATAGGCTGGGTGTAGGGTACTAATGACTTATTTTTTGTCTAAGTAGGTTTGGAGGCTGAAATCTGTGGAAATTTCAGTTCAATAGTTTGTTTATTTGTTATCTTGTCTTAAAAGGGCTTTTATAGCTGCCTAATTAATTACCACCAAATTATCTCTAACACTATAACTTGATTTATAAGTTATAACACACTCAAATATTTACCAGAATTACCAAAGTTCTAAAGGAAACAATAAACAATGCATGAAATAACATGAAATAAAAATAAAGTTTCAGTATTTGGTGCATATTTTAGGACTAGATGACATCTAATTATCCAAAATACCTCTGATGACTGCCCATGGTCATGTGACCCAAGATAAACATAGATATAAACATAAATAGACAGACAAGCACTTCAATAGTGTAAGGACTATTTTACAAGGTCTGTTTGAATTCAATTCATTGATTAAAAAAATATGTGAGTTATCATTTTATCAGTAAAAGAATGATTTTTTTTGCACACAGAATCAGTCAACGAAATGGTTCTTCTGGTTGCACCGTTGTTTCACTTTCCTATTTTGACACTCTTTTATATTTAATAACTGAACATACCCAACATGCTGAGCTCATGTCCAATTCAAGGGTAAAATTAAAGGTTGCATGCAAATGGACCAAAATCAAGTCAAATTATTGTTTTGTAAGATTGATGATAATACATCAACAATGCTTTTGAGCTTATTTTTGTAAAATTAACAAAACTGGCTGCTAATATTGAATTATTATTTCAATATTCCACAATCATATGATTAATATTTGAAACAATACAAAAATCATACTTTAATTTTTTTGTCTAAAACTTAGCTATGCCCTTTTATAAGGATGTATACCTCTGAGGAGCCAAAAATTTCTAGAATTAAACTTTTTTTCTTAACCTGATTTATGAGTTCATATGACTGTAAGAAAGTAATGATGAAGAAAAAAATCATATGGTGGTGCACTTCTTTTTCTGCTTTCATTTGAAAGTACCCATTTTTAAAGATTTTCCCATTTTTGGGCTATTATCATGAAAAAAATCACAATTTCACAATTAAACTTTTTTTCATACTTTCACTAAAGATGAAGTGGACCAATCTTAATATATTTAACTTTTAAAAACTAGAGGTTGGTGTCAATTTTGTCAATTTGTGATTTTTCTCTTTTTTTTTTAGAACAAAAATCATATTATTTCAACTTCTTTGTTATAAATGATTGAAAAAAACATATCTAAGAAGTTTGAAAAGAAAAAAAATTGATAATGGATGTACATTTTTTAGTAAAATCATTTTTTTGTACTCATCACCCATTTTTCAACATTTTGGCTGATGACACTGACCAGATTGGTTATAAAATTTGAAAATTTTATTCCTCAAAAACTGCTTATTGTAAGAACACAATTTTTATGCCCCACCTACGATAGTAGAGGGGCATTATGTTTTTCAGTCTGTGCGTCCGTTCGTCCGTCCGTCCGTCTGTCCCGCTTCAGGTTAAAGCTTTTGGTCAAGGTAGTTTTTGATGAAGTTGAAGTCCAATCAACTTGAAACTTAGTACACATGTTTCCTATGATATGATCTTTCTAATTTTAATGCCAAATTAGAGTTTTGACCCCAATTTCACAGTCCACTGAACATTGAAAATGATAGTGTGAGTGGGGCATCTGTGTACTATGGACACATTCTTGTTTCACAGAGTTTAGTTTATGATATTTTTTAAATTCATTGATATTTTCCACTTGTATCACATGTTTTGGAAATAATTCCCAAACGAGAATTCAAGAGACTGAAACATCAGAAAAAATACATCCTTAACTTTTCATTCACAAAATCAAATATATTCATTCACAGATTTTCTCTGATATATTACAAATTCCTATAAAACCATTAAATAATCAAATTAAAATTGTGAAAATTGAAAAGTAAAAGCTTTTGGCAGAAATGTTATTGACATGAAGCATGTGTCATCCATTATTCTTTTAACAACAATTTAGTGGATCTGCTGCCTTAACTCATATGATAAAGAGTTTAAATATCAAATCAATTTTATAATGAATCAATCAATTACAATTGATTTTGAAGATTACTAAACCATTTTCAAATTATGATATTTTTTTATGAAGGAATAGTAGAAATTGAATGAAACTTTCCTTTCATGTTTGAATTAATAGAATACTATCAATTTACCTAATTCCCAAATTTATCAAGTTTTATCAAGATGTCTTTGATTGATCCCATTGTTTCTATAGACATAAAATACTTTTCAATTTGATTAAAATGGTGATAATTCTGAAGCAAAATGATAAATTGTCCCCAAGTTGGGATCAATTTTATTCGCTATTAGTTTTGTTTTGTTTGGCAAAGTAGATCCATTTCCACTATTTTCCATCAACATTTTATTTATGATAGTGCAAAGATATGTCACGTTGAATTGTTTTTGATGAAA